TTCTGGGATGGTTTGGGTTGGAAGGGACCTTCAAGATCATCCAGATCCAACCCCCTGCATGGGCAGGGACACCTCTCACCAGCCCAGGCTGCTCCAAGCCCCATCCAACCTGCCCTTCAACACCTCCAGGGATGGGGCAGCCACAGCTTCCCTGCCCAACCTGGGCCAGGCTCTCACCACCCTCACAACAAAGAATTCCCTCCTCATGTCCAGCCTCCAGCTCCCTCTCCCAGTTTTCATCCACCCCCCTCATCCCATCCCTCCCTGCCCTTGTCCCAAGTCCCTCCTCAGCTTTCCTGGAGCCCCTTCAGGCACTGGAAGCTGCTCTAAGGTCTCCCTGGAGCCTTCTCTTCTCCAGGCTCAACACCCCAACTCTCCCAGCCTGTCTCCAGAGCAGAGCTGCTCCAGCCCTTGGATCATCTTTTTCCCCCCTGGCTTGTGGTTGGAATTGGTTGTTCCTGGTCTGTGTTGCTCAGAGCTTGGATTTGATGGTCCCACTGCTGCTGACTGCTCTGGTGACCCTTTCTCTCTTGCAGAAACGAGGCAGTGGTGATCTCAGGGAGGAAGTTGGCCCGGCAGATCAGGCAGGAAGCCCGTCACGAGGTGGAGCAGTGGGTGGCAGCTGGGAACAAGAGACCTCACCTCAGTGTTGTTCTTGTGGGTGAAAACCCAGCCAGTCACTCCTACGTGCTGAACAAAACCAAAGCAGCTGCTGATGTTGGTATGTCCTGCTCTGCTCAAGTCACTGCTTGGTCCTTATCTGGGTAGTTCTCTACACTGGGGGAAGCTTTTGGGGCTGTATCTCTGGCACCTCAGCTGTGGGGCAGTTGCCCCACCATGTTCTGTAGACTCTTTTGTGTCCCCTCACTGGGATGATGTAGTTCAGAACCTGGTTCAGGTGCTCGTTGTGCCACTTGAATGCTTCAGGACAACATCAGGATCTGTAGTTTGGATCTGCAAACTTTCTAGGGCTCTGATGTTTCTTTCCTCAACTCCCTGGGATGCACCCAACTTCCAGCAGCCTTCTTACCCTGGGACTCCTTCCAGTCCTGCACACCAAGGTCCGTGCTTTGTGCTCACCTGAGTTTGCTTGTGGAAAAAATGAGCTGGAAGGGGGCAGGAAGGGGCTTCATTCCTCCTTGGGTTCTGAGCTGCTGGAGCCTTCTTTGGGGCTGAGATCTTCAGGTCAACATCTTCCTCTCCTTGTGCCGTGAGGATCACACCTTGGTTAGGGTTCTCCAAACCCTTCCTGTTCTTGGAAGGTCTCTGCTTCCCAGTAGTCCTGCCCAGGTCATCAGACTGATCCTAATGGTCCTTGACCACAGCTTGCATGAGTTGGGAAGGTCTTCAGCTTGGAAGGTGCTTGTTGTTAGTGTCCAATCCTTGGTGTGTGCCTGTTGATTTGGGCTAGAATCCATGTGGATTTAGGAAGTTGCTCAGCTCCTGGTGCACTTGTGGCTCTAACAAGGCTCTTCCACTGCTTGTGCAGGAATCAGCAGTGAAACCATCCTCAGACCAGCATCCATCACTGAGGAGGAGCTGCTGGATTTGATCAGCAAACTCAATAATGATGCTGATGTGGATGGTCTGTTAATCCAGCTCCCTCTGCCTGGTGAGTTCCTGCATCCACCTCTTCTATCAGAGCTTCTTAAGGGTTTGATGGGTCAGATGGAGCAGCAGCAGCTCTGGGACTGGCCTGTGACACAAGGTGTCACCCTGCCATGATACAGCTTGAAGGAGCTGATGCAGCTTCTCCACCAGGCCTGGAGCTGCCTGGACCTGTTAAGTTGTTGTGGAGGGGGGGAGATGTCACAGAATCTGTTGTGGGGTGGGAAGTATCAGCTTCCAGAAGCTTGAACTTGGGTGTGACACTGAGGCTGCCTAAAAATACCCTCTGGGTGTTAGTGACACTGCAGTCCCAAAGGGAACCCAGTCCCCTTCTTATGGGGGGACAGTCCTGGGGGAGCTTCAGGGCTTTTTTTTGGGGGGTGACCCCTGGGGGAGCTTCAGGGCTTTCTGGAGGTGGAATTGGGATCTTCAGGGCTTTCTTAGGGGAGCTCTGGGGGAGCTTCAGGGCTTTCCTGGAGGGGGAGGAGCCTGGGAGAACCTCAGGGCTTTCTGGGAATGGGCCTTGGAGGAGCTTCAGGGCTTTCTGGAGCTTCTGAGCCTGCTGGGGGATCTCAGGGCTTCCCTGGGGGAGCCTTGGGGAGCTCTGAGCTCCAAACTCCTTTGGTGCAGCAGGTCAGGGCTGACTGCCAAGAGCAGGTCTGGATTGTTTGGGTTTTTTTATTTTTGGCTGATCCTTGGGATGCAAACTCTTTGTTCTCTTCCAGAACACATTGATGAGAGGAAGATCTGCAATGCTGTGGCTCCAGCCAAAGATGTTGATGGTTTCCATGTGATCAACGTGGGGCGCATGTGCCTGGACCAGTACTCCATGCTTCCAGCCACCCCCTGGGGGGTGTGGGAGATCATCAAGAGGACAGGTCAGCTGCTGCTGCGGTGTTTGGCTGCTGTCTGGTGTAACTCCAGCTTGTTAAGATACCCATCTTGTCCCCTGCAGGCATCCCAACACTGGGGAAGAACGTGGTGGTGGCTGGCAGGTCCAAGAACGTGGGCATGCCCATTGCCATGCTGCTGCACACAGATGGGAGGCATGAGCGCCCAGGAGGTAGGAGATGGGTGGCCCTGGAGCTCCTGTGCCAGGCTCAGCCTGTCACCTTGTCCTCTTGAGGCCTTAGAATCACAATGGTTTTGGTTGGAGAAGACCTTGAAGATCATCCCATCCAACCAAAGGTTGGTTCAAGGTCTTCTCCAACCAATGCTGGATTCTACCAGTGCTCTGGGTAGCCTGTGCCAGAGCTTCCCATGAGGAAATAGTTCCCAAGATCCAATCTAAACCTCTTCTGGGCAACTTGAGACTGTTTCCTCCTCTCTTACTACTTCAATGGGAGAAGAGACCAAAGCCCTGGCTCCAGCCTCCTCTCAGGCAGTTGCAGAGAGTGAGAAGGTCTCTCCTCAGCCTCTTTCTCTCCAGGCTGAAGCTCCAACCTCCCATCAGGGAGTCCTTGTCCATTTCCACACCAGATCCCTCCCTCTAGGCTGTTCCATGGGGTTTGTCATCAGGCTTTGATGGTCCTGGGTGCTCTTGAAGGGGAAGATGGAAAGAAGTGGCTGGGTTTGGGTTGTACATCTGAGTTCAAAAGCTCCATATCATGTTCTCTATCTGGAGAACTGTGTCCAGTTCTGGAGCCCCCAACACAGCAAGGACATGAAGCTCGTGAACAGAGTCCAGAGGAGCCATGGAGATGTGGGAGGGCTGGAGCAGCTCTGCTCTGGAGCCAGGCTGGGAGAGTTGGGGTGTTCAGCCTGGAGAAGAGAAGGCTCCAGGGAGACCTTAGAGCAGCTTCCAGTGCCTGAAGGGGCTCCAGGAAAGCTGGGGAGGGACTTGGGACAAGGGCAGGGAGGGATGGGATGAGGGGGATGGATTGAAACTGGGAGAGGGAGATGGAGGTTGGAGATGAGGAGGGAATTCTTTGGTGTGAGGGTGGTGAGAGCCTGGCCCAGGTTGGGCAGGGAAGCTGGGGCTGCCCCATCCCTGGAGGTGTTGAAGGGCAGGTTGGATGGGGCTTGGAGCAGCCTGGGCTGGTGGGAGGTGTCCCTGCCCATGAAGGGGTTGGATCTAGATGATCATTAAGGTTCCTTCCCATCCAAACCACCCATGGTTCTGTGACCCTCCTGCAGGGGACGCCACAGTCACCATATCCCACCGTTACACACCCAAGGAGCAGCTGAAGCAACACACCATCCGTGCTGACATCGTGGTGGCAGCAGCAGGTAAGACCTGACTCCAACCACCCAGACAGGGTGCAGAGAGGGTGAGGGTGCTGTGCTGCACCCTGGCTGGTGTTTCTGGTGGGATCTTTGCTCACAGGAGACATTCCTGTTGGTGCCCAGTGTCCTGGGGCAGCTCCGGCAGCACAGGAGGGTCCAGTGCCCTTGGGCTGTTGCTGCCCTGGGTGAGGGGCTGTTTGTGCCAACCAGCTAATTCTGGGGTGAAACCCTGGAGCCACATACTTGACTTGAGCAGCAGAGCTGTTTGTAGCTTTGGAAAATGTAAATGTAGCCTTTGAAATGTCAAGTAACACCTGGCAGGAGGGCTTGGGCTGCCTGTGAGCACCTGAACCAAGCAGCAGCCAGGCCCTGTTAAACATGCAGGCAGCTGTGAGTTTGTGTTGAGGGGGGGGAGGAAAAAAAAAACCAAACAAGAAAACACCTGCTTACCTTCTGGCTGTGCAGATGCCACAGCAGGACCATCTTCAGAGCTTGAGGAGTGGCTTGGTGTCCTCTTCCCCTTGGCATGGAGACAGATCAGCAGCAGGGTTGAGCAGACCTGGGGTTTGGCAGCAGAAGCTGGGTGTGAACCTGTGGGGAGGGAGGATGAGGCAGTATCTGGTAGAACCAGACAGACCCCACCCTGAAAGGTGGTTTAGCCTCAAGCTGTTGCTCCCCACCCCTCTCCTACTGGAACCCTGAGGGGTCTGAGGCCCTGAGTGGAGCCAGTGCTCCTGCTCCTGCCCAGCTGGGTTGTGGAGGACTCAGCTCTTGCTCCTCCAGCCTCTTGACTTGGTGCAGGTGTAAAAACCTGTGGCTGGAACTGCCTGAACACCCAAGAGCCATGGACTTCATGTGGAAACTTCAAGGTTTCAGGTTAGAGGGGATGGTTGGGTCTGGCAAAGCAGCTGAGACCTCTGTCTGGGGGTGGATCCCAGCTCTTCACTCTCAGGTAATCAGTAAATCCCCCTCCAGCTCCTGCCTGAGCTGCACATCAAGGAGCAGCCCTGGGTGGGAAGAGCTACATTTCTGAGGCAGGAGGACCCAGGTGGATCAAAACATAACCTGAAGATGGGGTGAAGGGCAGCAGGGGGTTGTTTAGCCCCACCACCAGTGTGTGGTTCTGTTTTCTGCTTGCAGGCATCCCCAACCTGATCACAGCTGATATGATCAAGGAAGGAGCTGCAGTGATTGATGTGGGGATAACCAGGGTGCAGGATCCCATCACTGCCAAACCCAGGCTGGTTGGGGATGTGGATTTTGAAGGTATGGAAAGGCTCTGCTTCTGGTTCCTTGAGTGTTTCCACATCAAAGGTGCTAAGCAGGGGAGGAGAAAGTCCTGGATCCCACAGCTGAGCAGATGCAGACCAATGTTCATGTTCTCCTTGGTGCACCACACACACAAGGGTGCAGCTTTCCTGGGATCAGCCATGGGAAAGCTGAGTGCTGCAAGGTAGAGGAGGCCCAGCCCAGGCTGAAGCAATGAGATGGCTTTGCTTCTGCTTCAGTTCTCACCCACACCCCTGCTTGCACCTAAAACCATGCAGAGCTCACCTTCTGGCCTGGCTCAGCTCCTGGCTGCAGAAGGGCTGATGAGATGAGCCCTGCACCCTGGGGTGCTGCTGAGATACCACAACCTCCTGGAAGAGAGAGAGGATGGTCAGATGGTTGGTGCTTTATTGTTGTACACCTCAAGGGTAGGTGTGAAGTCCACATCTTGTCTTGGACTTGCCAGTTCTGTGCTAGAAATCCAATTATTGGACCTTGCTCTTTGCTTTCCCCCAGCTTGGGCTTGGCAGTTGAGCTTCCTGAGGGATGGACAGACCATGGTGGGATCCATCCTGGTTAATGATGGGGGAAAAATCCACCTTGAGAAACTACTATTCCTTAGCTGTTGATTTTAGAATCATGGAATGGTTTGGGTTGGAAGGGACATTAAAGACCATCCCAATCCAAACCCCTGCATGGGCAGGGACACCTCCCACCAGCCCAGGCTGCTCCAAGCCCCATCCAACCTGCCCTTCAACACCCCCAGGGATGGGGCAGCCACAGCTTCCCTGGGCAACCTGGGCCAGGCTCTCACCACCCTCATCTCCAACCTCCATCCCCCTCATCCCATCCCTCCCTGCCCTTGTCCCAAGTCCCTCCCCAGCTTTCCTGGAGCCCCTTCAGGCACTGGCAGGTGCTCTGAGGTCTCCCTGGAGCCTTCTCCAGGCTGAATAGCCTGGTTACAGCTTCATACCAGCAAGTGTTGGTGCTCCTGACTGGTGTGCTCAGCTCCAGCTCTCCTTCCTGCAGGGGTGAAGAAGAAAGCCAGTTACATCACTCCAGTCCCAGGGGGTGTGGGGCCCATGACTGTGGCCATGCTGATGAAGAACACCATCATTGCTGCCAAGAAGCTGCTGAAACCCAAAGAGCTGGAAGCATCAGCTGCTTAACGTGGGACCCCCCAGCACTCAGAGCAACATTCCAAACTAACTCCAAACAGGCCGATAGAAACATGCAATATTTTCTTATTTATTGGAGGTGGAATTCCTGAGCTCCCAGCTATTTATTGGAAGCTGAAGCCCATGCACTGTAGTTGTACAAAGGTGGAAGCATCTACACTCCTGATCTGCTCCTGCTAGGAAAGCTGTTGTGTGTCTGTGTGAGCTTTTTGTGGGAAGCCCAGCAGAGGCTGGGATTCCAGGGATGCAGCTTTTCTGTCAGGACTCCCATGGGAAGCAGAGCCCTGCTCCATGGTGGGAAAGTGGTGGCCTTCTGTTCTCCCAAGTGCTCAGTCTGGCTGGACTGCTCCTCTTTGACTTGACTTCATGCTGTCTTCTACTAGACTACTTCTACTAGAAGATTAAAGTCTTCTACTCCAGCCTGGATATTTAGTTTAAGTTCCTTCTGTAGAAGAAGTTACTTGAAAAAAAATAGATCATCATGAAAATAAAAAGCCATCTGTGTGTCCCTGGGCAGAGCAGAGCTGTTGTAACTTGTCCTGGTGTGCAGCCAAGCTGGCTTTATTTTTGCTATTTAGATGACTTTTTTTTTTTTTAAAAAAAGCCTTTTTTTCTAACCAAAGAAGGGGGGGGAGGGGGGTGCTGCTGGTGTTGGGCACACAGGAGGGTTTGTGTCCAAGTTGTTGGTGAATAATGCAGGCTGCCTTGAAATAAAGTGTGAGAAGAAGAAAAAGAATCTTGTTTGTGGCCCAGAATTGTTACTAAGTGAGGTTTTCACTTTTCCCAGGCTGGGGGAGCAGCCCCAGCACAGGCTGATGAAAGGACTTGTCCCTTTTGTCCCCACTGCAAGGTCAGGGCTCACTTTCTCCCTGAGTTTAGGGAGGACATAAGTGGGATAAAGAGCAGCTCTTGTACTTTCATGCCTGAACAAAACCTGTTCTGCTCCTGCCTGTTCCCTAATGAGATCAACTGAGTCCTCTAATGAGTTTGCAAAGCTCTAATTACCCAGTGAATATGAACCTTACCTGGGGTCACGTTGCCTTGGGCAGGATGGAAAAACTCACATGTCATCCTCCTTGTGGTGGCAGGGAAGTCTCAGCCACCTTCTTCTTCACACATCCCTGGAAAGCTGATCCCACCTTTCTGGGAGCAGAAGAGGTTTGTTGTGCTGCTAGAGGGCTGGTGTGGTGGCACTAACCCCACATTCAGGGTTCTCTCCCAGAGGGGAGAGTGTTGCTCAAACCATCAAAGGAGGAGGTGGGGGAAGAGCTGAGGGTCAAGGACTCTGCACCAGAAACACACTTAAGAGCTGAGAGTCATTGAAACCAGGTTTATTGGGTTGTATCACTGATAAATACAAAATGGCTGCAGTGGGGCTGGAATGGAGGTGGCCAAGCTGGGCCCTTCCACTCTTGCCAAGATACAAAAAGTTGGGAACCTTGCAAAAAAGGAGGAATGGAGGCAAAAATCAAGCTAGATGCTAGAGTAGCTTCGGCTCTGCTCCAACTACCAAGTCCACAAAGCCTTGCTGGGGGTGGAGCTGATGGATCAAAGCAAATGAACCTGTTTGATTCAAATCTTAAGCCTACCTGGACCTGCTGCAGCTACCACAGGAGAGGGGACAAAAGGGGCTACAAATTAAGACACGAGATGTTCCAAGTTGAAAAGATGTTCCAAGTTGCTAAACCTGAAGCAGGAAGGTTAACTTATCCCACCACCCTTTCCCCAGGAGGTGAACTGGAACCAGAAACAAACAAACAAAAAAATATTGGCTATAAATAGGAAACTACTTTCAAGTCTTTCTGTTGGACTCAACTATTTACACAGACCTGGGATCTGATCTGTCCTACCCAAAGGTTCAGACCAGTTGCAATATTTAACTGGTGTCCCAGACTCCCCCCCTGCAGCTGGTTGAAATAATCAGGTTGGTTTGGGTTGGGGCTGGAAAGAAAGCAAAAATCCAAAGGAAAAATAGAATCCAGGTAGGAAAAATGAGCAAAGAGAAACTTCTGAGGGGGGTGTCTGCCCAGTGGTGCTAAACCAGAGCTGGGCTTGGGTTGTGGAAGGGAAAAAAAAACCCTTTAAAAGCTTTTTCACCCCCCTGGGGCTGCTGGAAAGGAAAGTGGTGAGAGTTGGGCAGAATCAAACAGAGCTGGGTGCCCACCCTGGGTCCCAACCTGCTCCTTTCCTGGAGCACCCAAAGGTGGGTGGGAAGAGCCCTTCCTGGAGCTGAAACGGGGACCGAGTGGGGAGTGGGATGGGAGCCCAAAGCCTGGGTAGGGATGTGGTTGGGGACACACTTGCTGTCCCCTCCCCGAGCCACTAGGTTAAACGACAGGAAATAACCAGGATGGAGGAGCCAACGTGAGTGGGAACCCTTGGCACAGGGGCTGGGCAGGCAGAGCCGGCTCCTCCAGTGGGGTAACAGATCCCCAGGTGGGATAACAGCCCCTCCAGTGGGATAACAGCTTGGGCACATCTCATTCCCTGCTAGAGGGAGAGACGGGGCTGTCCCCAGCCCTGGGGCAGCTGCCGGGGGGAGACGCGGGGAGGGGGGACCCCAACACCTTCACAGCAGCACCCGCTTCCCGGCAGGACCCCCCC